AGGGCTCAAAGTGGGGGAAATCGCCAATGCGTTAACATCGTAGAGACTGCTAAATTCGCGAGAGCATAATTCCATAAGTTTTCCATCAAATTTCATACTTTTGGTGTAATTATGACTGGGAAAAGATTCTCTATCATTTCATAAGAAAAAATAATTATTTTTTTTTTTTTTTGAAAAATTTCCGACCCTGAGAACAAGTTTAGGAGAGGGCCTGCTGACCCTGAAAGGGTTAAGGAACCCCACTGGCAGTTAAGGGTTAATGCATAATGGGAGGTCTAAGGCCTGTCTGGAGGCCTACTTGCTATGGTACTCCTTAATGGAAATATGCACCACTAACAGAAATGAAATCTGCTCCTGTGTGCCTTAATGGAAATGGGCATGGTTCTTATGGTAATGAAAACCAAGTTAAATTGCATATCAAAAACACGAGTTATGATTGCACTACTTGAGGTTTTCTGCTGTATACTGGGTATATTATAGTGATGGGTCGATACCAGAATTTTTACTAATACAGGTCCTCCATCACAAATCCGGCATCATTGGGACCTGTAGTGTGCCGGATTACTGAGTTTGCTGAATTACAGAGTGGTTAGGTTAGAATACACTTAATAAAATTAACCAACTTGACTTACACAGTTCATTGAACATCGGCAAAAATCAAACATTTCCGCTACTTTGAGCTCAATTTCAAGGTACTTTTCGTCATGAAAGCAATCAAAATCATGTCTATTTCTGTAATATATCTTCCATTCTATCAAATGAGTCCAAAAAATGAGAATACAACCATAAAAACCATACAAAAATATACTGCAAAGAGGCGGCTAATAGCTGAGAAGTGAACTCCCTTATTTATCGTCCGTCTTTTTTATTTTTGTTGTACGTTAAGAAGCATCTTTCCATCATACATTGCCCAACAAACAACCGAGGAAAAAAAAATATTTACCAAAAATCATATATGGCAAGCCCAAGCCAGGTACTGGAAATAAGTCACTTTGTCTGACTTTTCTGGGTTATCCTAGGTTCTCTATACATACACTGCTATGTATGATAGTCTATGTAACCTTATTTGTGTATACCTGAATACTTATTTACTTCTAGTCTGTCAACTGAGTACAAGAAACCGCCCATTCACTTATTTCAGCTACCCAATAAAGTGGTCAGAAATTGGCAATTTGGCCAATTTCACACAAATTTCAACAGATGCCAATTTCAAAATAGGGTCCAGAATAAACAATGCAGACACTCCTGGCACTAAAATAACATTTTCTCTGTTCATTAGTCACAGCTACAAGCCCCTCTTATATTACTCTTGCTTACCATTTGGAATTTTTATTCACAAAAAATAGAAGATTTACTGTTATGCAGACTGCTGTATTATTGTAATAATTGTATAAATAATGTCAATCCATTCTTGACTCCGTACTGGAATTTAGACTGGCAGGCGGACAGGTATTGGACGGTGATGTCATTTGTTTACTCTTGAGCTTTGCTAAAGAATAGAACACTTCGCTACTGTGAGCGCAATTTCAAGGTACTTTTCGTCATGAAAGCAATCAAAATCATATCTATTTCTGTAATATATCTTTCATTCTATCAAATGAGACCGAAAAAATTAGAATATAACCATAACAACCACACAAAAATATACCGCTAAGCGGCCGCTAATGGCTGAGAAGTGAACTCCGCTATTTATGGTCTGATTTCTTTCATTTTTGGTGCACGTGAAGAAGCATCTTTCCATCATACATTGTCCAAGTTTGAATAAGATAACCCAACAAACAACTGAGAAAATAATAATAATATAATAATAATAAATGATATAATAATAATAATAATATCTTTATTTACTACACGTACATGTACAAGGTATACAGGCCTAGCTGACATCAGTGATATACTACTGTATAGAAAGGCACTTGTTATGCTGAGTATTTCAAGAAAATTAGGTCAGTGTCCCAGGATAACACCCACACTAGTCGAGTAACACCCAGGTACCCATTTACTGATGGGTAAACATAGACAATGTTTCTACCCTGGCTGGGAATCGAATATTTACCAAAAATCATATATGGCTAACCCAAGCCAGGTACTAAAAATAAGCCACGTTGACTTTTTTGGGGTTATCCTAGGTTCTCTACACATATGCTGCTATGTGTGATAATCTATAGAGAGAAAATAACTCTCTCTCTCTTTGTTTCATGTTTATGGTGGAGTATGAGTGTATATCAAAGTTAGCCCTGTGCTATACTCCGTTTTCTCTAAGTCCCCAAGACAAGGATAGGAGAATGGTATTTGTTTACCATATCCTCTTCATAACTCTGTCGAACTGCTCGGTGTTATGCCAAATATTATTCATTCTGGAGTATTTAACATTTTTTTTTTTTCAACAAGTTGGCCATCTCCTACCGAGGCAGGGTGACCCAAAAAATTAAGAAAATCCCCAAAAAGAAAATGCTTTTATCATCATTCAACACTTTCACCACACTCACACATAATCACTGTTTTTGCAGAGGTGCTCAGAATACAACAGTTTAGAAGCATATACGTATAAAGATACGCAACATAGCCCTCCAAACTGCCAATATCGGAGGGATATGTTGTGTATCTTTATACGTATATGCTTCTAAACTGTTGTATTCTGAGCACCTCTGCAAAAACAGTGATTATGTGTGAGTGTGGTGAAAGTGTTGAATGATGATGAAAGCATTTTCTTTTTGGGGATTATAAAAAAAAAAAATGAAAGCATTTTCTTTTTGGGGATTATAAAAAAAAAAAAAATTAAATACTCCAGAATGAATAATATTTGGCATAACACCAAGCAGTTCGACAGAGTTATGAAGAGGATATGGTAAACAAATACCATTCTCCTATCCTTGTCTTGGGGACTTAGAGAACACGGAGTATAGTTTTATGTTATTTATATTGATTCTTATGTCATATTAGATCAATTGTGATAGGCAAATAAGCTGTAGTGTTGATATTAGAGTAATAATAAAGCATATTCTCCTGCTTCATGAGACTGAGCTCATGGCAACCGACAGTGGCTTCAAAGCCACCTTATCATTAATGGATAATGTACTGTGTAGGTGCTTTACATAATGAGAAGTATTTCTTTTATTTATTGGAACCATGGCTAGGGCTAAAAGTAAGCAGGTTAAAACAATAAATGGAGAAAAAGAAATTTGAATGACTTATGCAGCAAGTAGCGCCACCAAACAGTACCAGCAGGTTGGTGTGGCGACCCTGGAAATTTGAAATTATGCTAGCCAAAATTAGTGCCGAATAACTGAAGGAACCGAATAACTGATTGCCGGATTTGTGATGGCGGACCTGTACCGACATTAAATATTAGGTTGAGACCAATACCACTAAAATTAGCAGATACCTACTGATACTAAATTTCTGGCTGATACCAGTACTGATAACATAAAAATTAGCCAATACCCACTAATACACTGAGAGTTTACTGTGTCACAACAATGCTTGCGAGTCACGCAGCCTCCAAGTAAACACCAGATGTCGGGATACCAACACTCTACGAGAGTAATATACAGTGTCCTTCACTGCTGGAAGTAAATTTCCTATTTATGTTACTCAAATACTGTTGGTAAATATCTAATCACCCAATCACGTGGCAGCATCTCAATACCTAAAAGCATGCAGACATTGTCAAGAGGTTAAGCTGTTGTTCAGACCGAATATCAGAATGGGGAAGAAATGTGATCTTAGTGACTTTGACTGTGGAATGATTGTTAGTGCCAGACAGGGTGGTCTGAGCATCTCAGAAACTGCTGATCTCCTGGGTTTTCACACATAACAGTCTCTAGAGTTATAGAGAATGGTGTGGAAAATACAAAGCATCTAGTGAGAGACAGTTCTGTAGGTGAAAATGCCTTGTTAATGAAAGACATCAGAAGAGAATGGCCAGACTAGTTCAAGCTGACAGGAAGGTGACAGAAGAGCATTTCTGAAAACACAACATGTCCAACCTTGAAGTGGATGAGCAGCAGCAGCAGCAGACCACACTAGGTTCCATGCCTGTCAGCTAAGAACAGGAAATTGAGGCTACAGTGGGGATAGGTTTGTCAAAACTGGACAGCTGAAGATTGGAAAAATGTCATCTGGTCTGATGAATTACAATTTCTGCTGCGACATGCAGATGGTAGGGTCAGAACATGGCATGAACAATATGAATCCATAGTGTCTTGTGTCAATGGCTCAGGCTGGTCATGGTGGTGGTGTAATGGTGTAGGGAATGTTTTCCTGGCACACATTAGGCCTATAATATCAAATGAGCATTGTTTAAATGCCACAGCCTTCCTGAGTATTGTTGTTGACCATGTGCATCCCTCTATGGCTGCAGTCTACCTATCTTCCAATGGCTACTTCCAGCAGGATAATATGCCATGTCACAACAAAGCACATGTAATCTTAAGCTGAATATGATAATGAGATGAATGTACCCCAATAGCCTACACAGTCACCAGATCTCAATCTAATGGAGTACCTTTGGGATGTGGTGGAATGGGAGATTCACAGCATGAATGTGCAGCCAACAAATCTGCAGCGAATGCATGATGCTTTCATGTCAAAATGGACCAGAATCTCTGAGGAATATTACTAACACCTTGTTAAATCCATGACATGAAGAATTCCGGCTGCTCTGGGAGCAAAGTACTAGAAGGGTGTACCTAATTAAGTGGCCACTGAATGTTGGTTAATTGACATCAACTTAGCTTAGCCAATAATAACAAATACTAGTTAATTTTTATATGTCTGGAGCAATTAAAAATCAACAAACTCTAATGTGTGTGAAATGCCTGTCCTATTGAAGCAAGTTGCAGACAAAAGAGTGATATATGGTAATGTATCTCAACTAGGCATTTTACTCTCACATAGCCAAAAACTTATAAATACACACAAAATGGATGATTTAAAACAGGAATTCCCCATGAATTGTGAAAAATCTATCCAGTGCTTAAAAAAGGAACATTTCTTACTTCAGATTTGATTTGTTGGTAGTTGCTGACACCAAGGGCTCGAAGGAGCTTTTGCAATGCTCCCTGGGCTTCCTTCTTATATGCAATGAACTCATCTGTTGATTTCTTCAAGTTTTCCTGAAGTACATCAGAAGATAAGCTTAGGAATAATTTTAACATTTAAGAAACAATAAGTAATATAAATTTCCATGAGGAAGTGAAAGAGAATTCTCCCTCTGTAAGCCATATATGTCATAAGAGTTGAATAAAATGTCAGGAGCAAGGGGCTAGTAACCCCTTCTCCTGTATATATTACTAAATTTAAAAAGAGAAACTTTCGTTTTTCTTTTTGGGCCACCCTGTCTTGGTGGGATACAGCCACTTTGCTGAAAGAAGAAATAATTTAAACCAACACCTACTTAAGTATATTAAATGGGAGCACATGGAGATAAATTGTTTTTAAGGTATGCGCTATGTGAGCATAGGTAACTAAATTTTATGAAAGGATTCAGGGGCAGGAAGTGCAGTGCTTGCACTCTGAAGGAGGGGTGGGGATATTGCAGTCCCAGAGGTAGGAAGTACAGCACATGCACTCTGAAGGAGTGGTGGGGATGTTGCAGTCCCAGAGGTAGGAAGTACAGCACATGCACTCTGAAGGAGAGGTGGGGATGTTGCAGTCCCAGAGGTAGGAAGTACAGCACATGCACTCTGAAGGAGGGGTGGGGATGTTGCAGTCCCAGAGGTAGGAAGTACAGCGCATGCACTCTGAAGGAGGGGTGGGGATGTTGCAGTCCCAGAGGTAGGAAGTACAGCACATGCACTCTGAAGGAGGGGTGGGGATATTGCAGTCCCAGAGGTAGGAAGTACAGCACATGCACTCTGAAGGAGGGGTGGGGATATTGCAGTCCCAGAGGTAGGAAGTACAGTGCATGCACTCTGAAAGAGGGTGGGGATACTGCAGTCAGAGGATGATCTGAAGTGTGATGTTAGCATACTTCTGGAAAGACAATGACTGATTGAATGAATGATGGTGAAGGTGTTTTCTACTTCCTGCCTTGGCAGGCGACAACCATTGAGGTAAAAAACTATTTAATTACCTAGGACTCTTACACACTGGCCATATTCCAGCAAGGTAGGTGACTCAAAGCAGGAAACAAATTTGCCATCACTCATCCCTCAGTTATTCTTCAAGAAGTGCATGAACATCATAGTTCCAATGTCTTAGTAAACAACGTTCTTCCCATCCTTCAGAGTACAGGCACTGTACCTGCCATCACTCTAGAAATTTAGTTTGGGTAACCAGTTTGCCTAAATTCCTTCTAGATATTACCTTTCTCACACTCCAGAAACATGCAAATTCCAAAAACTATTTATCTCTACTCACTCTGATCTAACATGTTCACACATACCTGCTAGATGTTCAAGCCCACTATCACTTAAAACCTCCTTCACATCCTCTTCCTGGGATGCCTTATTGTACTAAATTTATTTACAGTTCTGTAATATAAAATAACATATTTCCTAGGTAGCAGTCTGGCAGAAAGCAGCCACTCTGGGTGGAACTACCATCCTGCCAAGCAAGTGTGCAACAAAACCTGTAATTGTTGTACATGATAGTAGGATTGCTGGTGTTTTTTTAGGTTACACTACACATGCATGTACACACATATATTTACACATCCATCTGGGGTTTTCTTCTATTTTCAAAAGTTTTCTTTTTTTTTTTCAACGAGTCAGCCACCTCCCACCTAGGCAGGGTGACCAATACAGAAAGAAAATCCCCAAAAAGAAAATGCTTCCATCATCAGTCAATGCTTTCACCTCACTCATACATAATCACTGTCTTTCCAGAGGCACCCAGATACAACATTTTAGAAGCATATATAAAGATATATAGCATATCCCTCTAAACTGCCAATATCCAAAACCCCTCTTTTAACGTGCTGGCATTGTACTTCCCATTTCCAGTACTCAAGTCGGGCTATATAAAAATAACTGGTTTCCCTGATTCCCTTCACTAAATATTACCCTGCTCACACTCCAACAGTTCGTCAGGTCCCAAAAACCATTCGTGTCCATTCACTTCTACCTAAAACATTCAGGAATGCTTGCTGGAAGTCCAAGCCCCTTGCCCACAAAACCTCCTTTACTCCCTCCTTCCAACCTTTTTGAGGACGACCCCTACCTCGCCTTCCTTCCCCTACAGGCCTACACTCTCCGTATCATTCTACTTTGATCCATTCTCTCTAAATGACCAAACCACCTCAACAACCCCTCTTCAGCCCTCTGACTAATACATTTATTAACTCCACACCTTCTCCTAATTTTCACACTTCGAATTCTCTGCATAATATTCACAGCACACATTGCCTTTAGACCAGACATCTCCACTGCCTCCTCATGGCAGCATTTACAATCCAAGCTTCACACCCATATAAAAGTGTTGGTACCACTATACTTCCATATATTCCCTTCTTTGCCTCTATGGATAACATTTTTTTGTCTCCACAAATACCTCAATACACCATTCACTTTTTTTCCTTCATCAATTCTATGATTAACCTCATCCTTCATAAACAAATCTGCTAACACATCAACTCCCAAATATCAGAAGACATTCACTTCTTCCATACTCCCTCTCTCCAATGTGATATCCAATTTTTCTTTATCTAAATCATTTGATACCCTCATTACCTTACTCTTATCTACGTTCACTTTCAACTTTCTACCTTCACACATTCTTCCGAACTCATTCACTAACCTTTGCAACTTTTCTTTAGAATCTCCCATAAGCACAGTATCATCAGCAAAAAGTAACTGTGTCAACTACCATTTTGTATTTGATTCCCCATAATTTAATCCCACTTCTCTCCCCAACACCCTAGCATTTACTTTCACAACCCCATCTATAAATATATTAAACAACCATGGTAACACTACACATCCCTGTCTAAGAACTACTTTTACCAGGAAGTAATCTCCCTCTCTCTCCTATACACACAGCATTTAGTAACTTACTACCCAGTCCATACAGCTGTAACATCTGCCACATTGCTCCCCTATCCACTCTATCATATGCCTTTTCTAAATCCATAAATGCAATGAAATCTTGCTTACCTTTATCTAAATACTGTTTACATATATGCTTTAATGTAAACACTTGATCTACACATCCCCTACCCACTCTAAAGCCTCCTTGCTCATCTGCAATCCTACACACTGTTTTACCTCTAATTATTTCAATAATAACCTTACTGTACACTTTTCCTGGTATACTCAGTAAACTTATTCCCCGATAATTTTTACAATCTCTTTTGTCCCCTTTCCCTTTATATAAAGGAACTATACACATTTTCTGCCAATCCCCAGGTACTTTCTGCTCTTTCATACATTTATTAAACAAAAATACGAACCACTCCAACACAATGTCATCCCCCGTGCTTTTAACATTTCTATCATGATCCTGTCAGTTCCTGCTGCTTTACCCCTTTTCATTCTTCATAATGCCTCACACACCTCCCCCACACTCACATCCTGCTATTCTTCACTCCTAAAAGATGTTATACCTCCCTGACCAGTGCATGAAATTACCGCCTCTTTCATCATTGACATTTAAAAGTTCCTCAAAATATTCCTGTCATCTACCCACTAACTCCAGTTCCCCATCTACTAACTCCCCTACTCTGTTTTTAAGTGACAAATCCAATCGTTCTCTAAGCTTTCTTAACTTGTTTATGTCACTCCAAAAATTTTTCTTATTTTCAGCAAAATTTCTTGCCAGTGCCTCTCCCACTCTTTCATCTGCTCTCCCTTTGCATTCATTCACCACTCTCTTCACCTTTCTTTTACTCTGCTTTTCTTACAACACTTCTGCTTTGTAAAAACCTCTTATACGCTACCTTCTTCTCTTTTATCACACCCTTTACTTCATCATTCCACCAATCAATCCTCTTTCCTCTTGCACCCACCCTACTATAGCCATAAACTTTTGCCCCACATTCTAATACTGCATTTTTAAAACTATTCCAACCGTCTTCAACCCCCCCACTATTCATACTTGTATTAGCCCACTTTTCTGCCAACAGCTGCTTATATCTCGCCCTAACTTCTTCCTCCCTTAATTTATACATTTTCACCTCTGTCTCCTGCTTGCTGTTGCCATTTTCCTTTTGTTCCATCTACCTCTTACTCTAACTGTAGCTACAACTAAATAATGATCCGATATATCTGTTGCTCCTCTATAAACATGTACATCCTGAAGCCTACCCATTAACCCTTTCAGGGTTTCGGACGTACTACTACGGTTTACGCACCAGGGTTTTTGACGTGTTAGTACGCATAAATTCTAGTGCCCTCAAATCTAGTGAGAGAAAGCTGGTAGGCCTACATATGAAAGAATAGGTCTATGTGGTCAGTGTGTGCAGTATAAAAAATATCCTGCAGCACACAGTGCGTAATGAGAAAAAAAATTTTGACCGTGTTTTTAGATTAAAACAGCGACTTTGAACTGTAATTTTACGTGGTATTTACTGTTGTATTCTAGTTTTCCTGGTCTCATTTTATAGAATGGAAGATATATTACAGAAATTGAGATGATTTTGACTGGTTTTGCAATGAAAAGTACCTTGAAATTGAGCTCAAAGTAGCAGATATGTTCGATTTTTACCAAAGTTCAAAAGTAAACAAATCATGCTAAGCGTCCAATACATGTCAACTGGTGAGTCTAATATTCTTTCACAAGTGCGCCGATATTATTTATGCCATTTCTACACTAATGCAGTAGTCTGCATAACAGTAAATCTTCTATTTTTTGTGAGAATAAAAATTCAAAGTGGAAAGCAAAAGAATGTAAGAGGGGCATGAGGATGTGACTAATGAACAGAGGAATGTTATTTTAGTGCCAGGAATGTCTTTCTTGTTTATTCTGGACCCTATTTAGAAATTGGCATCTTTTGAAATTTGTGTGAAATTCGCAAAATTGCTAAATTCTGACCACTGTATTGGATAGTTAAAATTAGTAAATGGGTGGTTTCTTGTACTCATTCGATAGAAAAAATGGAGTTCTAGCGAAATAGTTATGATTTTTGTCGACTAGTACACTGGAATTCGTCGAAAATAGGGCTCAACGTGGGCAAAAT